GGGCAAAGACTAGTATACATACAAGCAAGAATATGTATGTGTGCGCATTCATCACTAATTGTTTTTGTATTGGGTGCCTTTATATCATTTCTTGATGTTAAATTTTATTCTTATGCAAAACCATTGCATTCTTTATTTTCTATCATTCTTGATGTTAATTTTCTTTGAGGCAAATGCCTTCTTTATTATGGAGCATGTAGGCAATTAATCCTAGTACAAAAATAGAATTGAATTTAAGTTATTTTAATGGGAGCTTTCCAGCGTGTTGCCTATTATTGAGAAATTTTATCGAGATAACTATATTTGTAGACGTTCTCTTTTTCTTTCTTGGACGACAATGGCATATGATATTCTGGTTACACAGACATCAATGAGAGGTCCTTCTGCAGGTTCTTTTTGAAGGGGCTTAAAAAATACTGCAGAGGAGGCAATAACCAAATAGACGCCGTAGGTAATGGTGCAATGGAGTCTCCGTCAACAAATCTTCACAGTCAATGAGGCCAACAAAATTTTCTGATATTTCTAGTGCCGAGATGAAGAGTAGAGAAGGTACCTCAATTGTTGTTTCATAGCTTAGAATGGTTGCTATTGGGATATTGTGCTGCATAAAGAGAGTGGGTAGATGTAAACAGTATGACAGTCCAATGAAATAGACCAGACTAGACAAACTAAGAAAGATAAGACACAGGACAAGAAATTGTTGGCAATCTTTTCTAATAATGCCCAGTTGAGTACCAAATGTCAATAAAGTTCGATCCCACATCGCTCCACTGTGTACCCTGTAAGTATTATGCCCTAGGTCCAATCAACTTTGGACATAAATACTTTTATATATAATTAATGCAATTAAATGGCAGATCTATTATTTAATTAATAGACAATTAAATAAATAATAGAGTCCGTAGATTCAAATATTTGTAATTTGTTAATCATAAGGAGTTGTGATTGTGAGATACAAATTACATCTGATTGAATCTTAAATCATCCGTGGTCGTAAGTAATAACGAGATACGGATATCGTTATTACGGATAGACCATCACGTGTGGCATTTCTTACTTGTGAAGTAAGTAGCTGATCTCACAAGTTAAAGTGTGGTGACACTTAAATGAACACGTGGATGTTTGTTATAGAACAAAACATTGGAAACCCGTCGAGAGATTCCACATGAATAACTATCTGAGTGTCGGTGGTTAATCTCTAACGTTCGGTAG